TTTATTATGCTAAATTTGATTTGATTTTATATATTTACAAAGTATATTTGTGTCATGAGAAAACCCTTGTGTCCTTACCTTTATAACAAATCTCCATAAGCTCAACAGAGAAACTTTTATCTAATTTTATCTGCCAGATATTGGTTTTCAAAACCAGACGTTATAAAAATAGTGAACTTTTTGAAAATGTTTCTATTGAGAACACTATTGGCAGTTCAACCTTCTTTAAGATCCGTGACTTGGATACTGAATCTGCCTATAGATAAAAAAAAACTTAGGTTATAAAATCTGAAATGGAAATTTCCCAAAGTGAACAGCAAGCAGACAAAGATCAGTAACTGACTGTCATTACTTGTGGATGTTGAGGATGGTGAGCCGTGACTCCACCACATAGGTGATCTACTGACAGAATACACACCTTAAACCAGATTTTTACTAAGATCTACATGACAATTGTATTTAAACTAATGAAGAATCTGTTTACCCTGACCTATTGGTCTCTGACAGGTGTGAATGCAAGGTAGGTATACAAAGGCACAGCCCTGGTGGTGTAGGGGTTGGGCACAGCCCTAGTGGTGTAGGGGTGGGACACAGCGCTAGCCCCGGTGGTGTATGGAGTGGGGCACAGCCCTGGTGGTGTAGGGGTGGGGCACAACCATAGCTCTGTTGTGTTGTCTGGACAGAGAGCTCCTAAACCATAGCTCTGTTGTGTTGTCTGGATAGAGAGATCCTAAACCATAGCTCTGTTGTGTTGTCTGGATAGAGAGATCTTAAACTGTACCTCTGGTGTGTTGTCTGGATAGACAGATCCCAAAACATACCTCTTTTGTGTTGTCTGGATAGAGAGATCCTAAACCATACCTCTGATGTGTTGTCCTGATAGAGATCCTAAACCATACCTCTGGTGTGTTGTCTGGATAGATAGATCCTAAACCATAACTCGTGTGTGTTGTCTGGATAGAGAGATCCTAAACCATAGCTCTGTTGTGTTGTCTGGATATAGAGATCTTAAACTGTACCTCTGGTGTGTTGTCTGGATAGACAGATCCCAAAACATACCTCTTTTGTGTTGTCTGGATAGAGAGATCCTTAACCATACCTCTGGTGTGTTGTCTGGATAGAGAGATCCTAAACCATACCTCTGATGTGTTGTCTGGATAGAGAGATCTTAAACCATCCCTCTGGTGTGTTGTCTGGATAGAGAGATCCCAAAACATACCTCTTTTGTGTTGTCTGGATAGAGAGATCCTTAACCATACCTCTGGTGTGTTGTCTGGATAGAGATCCTAAACCATACCTCTGATGTGTTGTCTGGATAGAGAGATCCTAAACCATACCTCTGATGTGTTGTCTGGATAGAGAGATCCTAAACCATAACTCTGGTGTGTTGTCTGGATAGAGAGATCCTAAACCATACCTCTGATGTGTTGTCTGGATAGAGAGATCCTAAACCATACCTCTGGTGTGTTGTCTGGATAGAGAGATCCTAAACCATACCTCTGGTGTGTTGTCTGGATAGAGAGATCCTAAACCATACCTCTGGTGTGTTGTCTGGATAGAGAGATCCTAAACCATACCTCTGGTGTGTTGTCTGGATAGAGAGATCCTAAACCATACCTCTGGTGTGTTGTCTGGATAGAGAGATCCTAAACTATACCTCTGGTGTGTTGTCTGGATAGAGAGATCCTAAACCATACCTCTGATGTGTTGTCTGGATAGAGAGATCCTAAACCATACCTCTGATGTGTTGTCTGGATAGAGAGATCCTAAACCATCCCTCTGGTGTGTTGTCTGGATAGAGAGATCCCAAAACATACCTCTTTTGTGTTGTCTGGATAGAGAGATCCTTAACCATACCTCTGGTGTGTTGTCTGGATAGAGATCCTAAACCATACCTCTGATGTGTTGTCTGGATAGAGAGATCCTAAACCATACCTCTGATGTGTTGTCTGGATAGAGAGATCCTAAACCATACCTCTGATGTGTTGTCTGGATAGAGATCCTAAACCATACCTCTGATGTGTTGTCTGGATAGAGAGATCCTAAACCATACCTCTGATTTGTTGTCTGGATAGAGATCCTAAACCATAACTCTGTTGTGTTGTCTGGATAGAGAGATCCTAAACTGTACCTCTGGTGTGTTGTCTGGATAGAGAGATCCTAAACTGTACCTCTGATGTGTTGTCTGGATAGAGAGATCCTAAACCATACCTCTGATGTGTTGTCTGGATAGAGAGATCCTTAACCATACCTCTGATTTGTTGTCTGGATAGAGATCCTAAACCATAACTCTGTTGTGTTGTCTGGATAGAGAGATCCTAAACCATACCTCTGATGTGTTGTCTGGATAGAGATGCTAAACTGTACCTCTGATGTGTTGTCTGGATAGAGAGATCTTAAACTGTACCTCTGGTGTGTTGTCTGGATAGAGAGATCCTAAACCATAGCTCTGTTGTGTTGTCTGGATAGAGAGATCTTAAACCATACCTCTGGTGTGTTGTCTGAATAGAGAGATCCTAAACCATAACTCTGTTGTGTTGTCTGGATAGAGAGATCCTGAACTGTACCTCTGGTGTGTTGTCTTGATAGAGAGATCCTAAACTGTACCTCTGATGTGTTGTCTGGATAGAGAGATCCTAAACTGTACCTCTGGTGTGTTGTCTGGATAGAGAGATGCTAAACCATACCTCTGATGTGTTGTCCTGATAGAGATCCTAAACCATACCTCTGGTGTGTTGTCTGGATAGATAGATCCTAAACCATAACTCTGGTGTATTGTCTGGATAGAGAGATCCTGAACTGTACCTCTGGTGTGTTGTCTTGATAGAGAGATCCTAAACTGTACCTCTGATGTGTTGTCTGGATAGAGAGATCCTAAACTGTACCTCTGGAGTGTTGTCTGGATAGAGATATCCTAAACTGTACCTCTGGTGTGTTGTCTGGATAGAGAGATCCTAAACTGTACCTCTGATGTGTTGTCTGTATAGAGAGATGCTAAACTGTACCTCTGATGTGTTGTCTGGATAGAGAGATGCTAAACTGTACCTCTGGTGTGTTGTCTGGATAAGGAGATCCAAAACTGTACCTCTGGTGTGTTGTCTGGATAGAGAGATCCTAAACCATACCTCTGGTGTGTTGTCTGGATCTCTCTATCCAGACAACACACCAGAGGTATGGTTTAGGATATCTCTATCAAGACAACACTCCAGAGGTACAGTTTTGGATCTCTTTATCCAGACAACACATCAGAGATACAGTTTAGGATCTCTCTATCCAGACAACCCATCAGAGGTACAGTTTAGGATCACTCTATCCAGACAACACATCAGAGGTACGGTTTAGGATCTCTCTATCCAGACAACACACCAGAGATATGCTAAACTGTTCCTCTGGTGTGTTGTCTGGATAGAGAGATGCTAAACTGTACCTCTGATGTGTTGTCTAGATAGACAGATCCTAAACTGTACCTCTGATGTGTTGTCTGGATAAGGAGATCCAAAACTGTACCTCTGGTGTGTTGTCTTGATAGAGATATCCTAAACCATAACTCTGGTGTGTTGTCTGGATAGAGAGATCCTGAACTGTACCTCTAGTGTGTTGTCTTGATAGAGAGATCCTAAACTGTACCTCTGATGTGTTGTCTGGATAGAGAAATCCTAAACCATACCTCTGGTGTGTTGTCTGGATAGATAGATCCTAAACCATCCCTCTGGTGTGTTGTCTGGATAGAGTGATCTTAAACCCTACCTCTGTTGTGTTGTTTGAATGTAGAGATCCTAAACCATACCTCTGTTGTGTTGTCTAAATGTAGAACTCCTAAACCATACATCTGTGTTGTGTTGTCTGAATGCAGAGCTCCCAAAACCCCTCTCTGATGTGTTGTCTGGATATAGAGCTCCCAGAACCCCATCTCTGATATGTTGTCTGGATATAGAGATCCTAAACCATACCTCTGATGTGTTGTCTGGATAGAGATATTCTAAACTGTACCTCTGATGTGTTGTCTGGATAGAGAGATCCTAAACCATAGCTCTGTTGTGTTGTCTGGATAGAGAGATCTTAAACTGTACCTCTGGTGTGTTGTCTGGATAGAGATCTTAAACTGTACCTCTGGTGTGTTGTCTGGATAGAGAGATCCTGAACTGTACCTCTAGTGTGTTGTCTGGATAGAGAGATCCTAAACCATACCTCTGTTGTGTTGTTTGAATGTAGAGATCCTAAACCATGCCTCTGATGTGTTGTCGGGATAGAGAGATCCCAAACTGTACCTCCTGTTGTGATGTTTGGATACTGACATCCCAAACTGTACCCCTGTTGTGATGTTTGGATACTGACATCCCAAACTGTACCCCTGTTGTGATGTTTGGATACTGACCTCCCGAACTGTACCTCTGGTGTGTTGTCTGGATAGAGAGATGCTAAACTGTACCTCGGATGTGTTGTCTAGATAGAGAGATCCTAAACTGTACCTCTGATGTGTTGTCTGGATAAGGAGATCCAAAACTGTACCTCTGGTGTGTTGTCTTGATAGAGATATCCTAAACTGTACCTCTGGTGTGTTGTCTGGATAGAGAGATGCTAAACTGTACCTCTGATGTGTTGTCTAGATAGAGAGATCCTAAACTGTACCTCTGATGTGTTGTCTGGATAAGGAGATCCAAAACTGTACCTCTGGTGTGTTGTCTTGATAGAGATATCCTAAACTATAACTCTGGTGTGTTGTCTGGATAGAGAGATCCTGAACTGTACCTCTAGTGTGTTGTCTTGATAGAGAGATCCTAAACTGTACCTCTGATGTGTTGTCTGGATAGAGAGATCCTAAACCATACCTCTGGTGTGTTGTCTGGATAGAGAGATCCTAAACCATCCCTCTGGTGTGTTGTCTGGATAGAGTGATCTTAAACCCTACCTCTGTTGTGTTGTTTGAATGTAGAGATCCTAAACCATACCTCTGTTGTGTTGTCTAAATGTAGAACTCCTAAACCATACATCTGTGTTGTGTTGTCTGGATAGAGAGATCCTAAACTGTACCTCAGGTGTATTGTCTGGATAGATAGATCCTAAACTGTACCTCTAGTGTTTGTTTACTGACCTCCCGAACTGTATCCCTGTTGTGATGTTTGGATACTGACCTCCCGAACTGTACCTCCTGTTGTGATGTTTGGATACTGACCTCCCAAACTGTACCCCTGTTGTGATGTTTGGATACTGACCTCCCGAACTGTACCTCCTGTTGTGATGTTTGGATACTGACCTCCCAAACTGTA